TCAGAGAAATATATCTATTTTTTCTGATGCTCTTTGATCTGCAAAAAGCCCTCACTGAGAGCAAGACAGGTAATTCATTTCAAAATGAATTTAAAATGTTATTCTTCACATAATTGAACACTAATCTTTTTATAGCCTTGGTGTGACTGATAGCTTAAGAATTGGTAAAGAATTTTTTTAAATGTCCTTAAATGTCATCAGAATATCTTTGGGGATATAGTTTCAACACTATCCCTTTGATTTGGCAATGCTGGTCCTCTCATATGCACAGCTAGTGCTCTATCCCCTGAGTTCCATCTCAGCCAATACTCTCCTTGACTTTCAGATTAAATTCTTGTTCTAACTTCCTGTGACAGATAAATGCTTATCTACTAGACTAGTTCAGAAGACTGCAGTGGAGAGCAGATGCAACATTGAGCCTGTAGTTCTACCTCTAATTTTTGTGTATTTTTTTAAATTGTTACTGAAAGAAAATATAATGAATTTTAACATTTGCTTAATTCGAGTGGAGAATGTGTGAGTTCTCATGATATTGTTGATTGGCCTTGGTACCTGATTTATAAAACTATCTCTAGTATCAACAATTTACTCATTTATGGTGACTCTAATATCTGCGTAGGTTGTCCATTAAAAAAAAAAAAAGATCTTTTCAATTCTTTTTAACCAATTCCTTCCAAATTAAATTGCAAAACATAGTAGAGTTTCTGTATGCCCACTATTAAGATTACACTTTGGTAATATTTACACTAATGTATTATATTACCAAAATCAAGGGTTTATGGTTGTATAACCAAATCACCTACACCACGGATATCATTTGGATTTCATCATTTTATGCCTGTATCACTTTTTTGTAAAAATCCATAACATTTAATTGTTTTCAAAAATGCAAAAACATTTACCTGAGTACCTGAATTACTCTCCAACGAGCAATATATTTTTAAAAATCCCACTATCTAAATGCTTCCTATGTCTAAGTTAAGAAATATTATATATAGTTTAATCAGAATACAGCAGTCTCTTGTGTCTTGAGACATTTTCCATGCCTTTAATTGGGATCTTTTCCTTCTGTTTCTCCTCCTTGGTACTCCTTCTTCATGTTTGTTTGGGTTTTTTCTCTTATTCTTATGAGTACACCTTTTACTTTGAATAATACATACCTTAATAGATTCCTCTTAATTGTCTTGAAGAATGCCATCTCCAAATAGTTATATTCTGAGATAATGGAGATTAGGACTTCCAAATAAATTTTCAAAGACAGTTCAACAAATAAATAAGGTTCCTATGAAATATTTGTTGAATAAACCCACAGAAGAAAATTTCTGAATTTTTAAATTGACTTCTTTGTTATGTAGCTTTACTTACTATATCCAAATCTCTGACAAAAGCTACTCCTAAAATAGAGATTAAATTACCTTACAGTTCTGATGGAAGTCAAAATGTCATAGTCCAGGCTCTGGGTCAGGCCCCATGGTGGGTGATGGGAGTGCACATGGAATAAGGGTCATATCTTCAGCCAGGAAGCAAGAGCTGGATGGTGCCAGGCTTGCTCCTTTATAAGAACTCCATCACATGACATCTAGGGGTTGTATGAGAACTACATGATCTAAGGACTATTACTAGGTCCCCCCCTCTCAAATTCTACAAAACCTCCCTATACTACTACTCTTGAGACCAAGCACCAATCAAATGAACGCCTGAGGAAACAAAATTAAACCATATCTAAACAATAGCATTTTCCAATGGGACCCAATATTTATGTCTATCTCAACTTCCAATTCAAACTACAGTTTTAACAAATGATATTTATCTATTATGAATTACATGAAGAAAAAGAAGGAAAGTCATGTGAGATCATAGTTCAAATTTTGAATGTCTATACTACATGAAAATTTTAAAACAACAAATTTCATGAACTTCAGGTGGGGAAGAATATATTATCTACTGAACACTCACATTTTGTAAGAGATGTTAGTAAATTTCTTTAAACTGACAAATTAAAAATAGAAATATGTTTGCTAATCAGACCTAATAATGAGAAAAATAAGAAAGGGTAGAGGTAGTAAGTAGAGAATAGGATGCAGTGAGAATAAGATGCCCATCCCTTTGCTCTGTTGTTTGGAACAAACATATAGAAATGAATACATTGCTGATGATATAAAAAAATAAAATATGGGACCAAGGCATGATGAGTCTTCAATGACCCAAAGATATATTTGTTATTTAGTAATAAAACTCAGTATATAAAAGCTCACATTGCTTACATTCTTACCTAGGATCCTACTTGGCAAGGCACACAGAAGAGCAACTACTTACAGTAGGTGGAGTGAAAGGGATGGAAGGAGAAGGCCAATATGTGAGTGGAAATGGTGCAGAGGCTCAGATACATCCACATTAAAATGAAGCCCCAGATGACTATGTTCTCCAACCTGCTTGCAATCTCGGAACAGGAAATCCCAGGGGTCATTCAGAATCTTAGCAGCTGCAATTGGTCCCCAGCCTTATATACTGCTTCCATCAGCATCTCTCCACTTGGAGAACAAAGAATTATACCTTGGTGTCACTTCATCTGAGAAAGACTCTCTCCTGTCAACTCTCCACCTCTGGACTCAGCTCAGCTCTCCACCTCTGCACAGGAGAATGGCAGGAAGGTAAGAAGAGTCAAAATTCCTGTTATGTATGGGGTTTGCTCTGGGTTAACATCCCTGTGTTTCTACTGTAGGGTTCTACCTGGAGAGGGTCAGGGAAAGGCAGGAGACAGTATCATCCTTCTGAAGACTGGGTACTCAAGCTCCTACTTTGAGTTTAAAATGGGGTTAATTCGATCATTTCCCATTCTGATTTATCTCTCATGAGGCAGAGAAGACTGGCAAATTATCAGGTAGTGTTCCAGGAGACCAGGGGCTGAAATTGGACCTCCTCTTAAAGATGTGATTCTGCAACGTTGGTTTGTTTGAGCCTCATTTTCTTTTTGTGTTAGGTGAGGATATTATAACAGATGGTCAATAAAGAAAACATGCTAAATATTGGGGTAGAGTAGTACATACAGAAAATAAGATATGCCTTGAGTGGGTTGATAGCAAAGACAAAAACACTGTACCCTAAAGAGAAATGTGGAAACTGCATTCAGTCAGGATACCAGTACTTCCATTTTTCCTCCTGTTTCTTGTGAAAATCAACTAATACTGATAAAAATTGTCTAACCAAGAAAATTCATTATGGATATGTTCACATCACAATGCCTCTCTGCAAGCCCAGAGGAGAAGGTGCCCTCTATCCCCTTGGAGGCCTCCTGCCCCTTTGTGTCCTCTATATTGTGAAGTCATAGCTACCCTTGTGAGACAGCAAAGGGCTTGGGAATTCTCATATTTGCTCCTGATTCCTACCCATTTCCATTCTGTGCCATATTTGATGGGCTTCACTTCCTCTCTGTTTCTGAACTGTTCTTAGGCTATATTTCATTTTATTCACAATTTGACTGCCATCTGAGATTAACTTAGGATTTATTTCTCTGGTTTTCTCCCATCCACATATAATTAACACAGTGTGGTGGTGGGTTCAAAAGGTGTAGAACTGAGGTGCTGGAATCCACACTGTGTGATACCAGGTTTAATCATTCATCCTGCTTGTGGTGCAATTCATCCTCTATAAAAATGGGACAGATAGAAATTCTTACCTTATCAGCTTTTGAGAGGATTCAAGGAGAAATTATGTGATGCACTCTAAATTAATTCATGTTAATCATTAAGATACGAGTGGATCCCTTTACTTGTTTGAAATGTGCTTCAAAAACACATTTTTTACACCTCAAGTGTAAAATCTCTCTTTAGACCTCAAGACATGCTCACTTTTAATTTCACTTCATATACTCTTCTCACACAAAATCTTTCATCAAGAAGGAAATGTTATTGAGAATTTCCTAGTAGGGAATGGAGTAAGTTCATATTGTACACACTACTGTAATCCTCCATAGTTATTCTCCTATTTTAAATACATCTTTTCATTGACACTCACACCTCACCCACATTCACACCCTCCTGTTCTATACTGTTGAGAAATTTAGCTGAGATACAAATCTGACACCACCACACCACCCAGCACTGTGCACCAAAAGCCTCTTGGTGCTAAACAAAGCCACCATGAATCTACACTCCAAAGGCACATCAGTAGTCAACATCAGTTACGTGGTCACATAGAAATAATTCTAACTACACCCAATACTGCTCACATTGAGGTTGTGATGGATAGCATTTTCTTCATTTCATCATGTGTGTGTTAAGGTCTTTCATTATATTTTCACTTTTATTTTCCATTTAACCCACATGATCCTGCACTGTCATGTATTCAGTCATTAAATAGATATTGAGGGCATGTGGGACACCTATAGAGCTCAGTTCTGGGGATTAAAAAGTGAACCTGTCTTCAATGCCTGACACACTGAGCTATGTTTATGCCCAGTCATTCTCAGTCCTGTTTTAGCAAAAGCTCACATTATCCTAGTAGCCATAAAGCTAGGTCTTCTTTTACCTCCTTGAGTGAAACCCTCTTTGTGATGGGGATGTTATAATCACCTCTGTGTCTGTATCAATTCCAGCACCTGAGAGAAAACTATCCCAGGTCATCATGGTACTGTTCCCACTCTGAGTGGGAGTGTCCAGAATATAGCATATTTCCTTGTCATTTAGGTTTAGGTCAGAGAACTCCAGCTGTTCACACAATAACTACTGGATTTAATTTGATATTTCATAAATCCCCTGCTGTGGATAGGTGACTTCACCTATGCAATCCTCTGTTCTCCTTCTCTTTAAAATGGATATAGTAATCTCCACAGAGAAGGGTGGTCCTGATATCTGAGCTATTGCTGCAAGTGCTCAAGTCTCCTTTGTGTTTCCAGGAGCACCACTGAAGTGAATAGGAGCCTGGACCCAACCCTCACAGCCTGGATGACAGAAGCCACACCAACCAATGAAAGTTATGAAGACCTTCCTCCAATCTGTGACATTGATAATCTGACTCCCAAAGTATTGACCTTCATCATTACCCTGGTTGGGCTGATTGGAAATGCATCTGTCATCTGGTTTTTGGGTTTCTGCATGCACAGAAATACATTTTACACCTACATCCTAAACCTAGCTGTGGCTGACTTCCTCTATCTCTGCTTCCATATCGCTGATGTCATACATACAGAAGTCATCAGAATCTTCCTTCACATTTCCATCCGTATACATATCATCATACAAACTGGGACAAACATTTTCTACATTGCAGGGCTGAGCATGCTGAGCGCTATTAGTACTGAGCGCTGCCTGTCAGTCCTATGGCCCATTTGGTACCACTGCCATCGCCCAAGACACCCATCAGCTGTCATATATGCCTTGCTTTGGGCCCTGTCCATGTTTCTGAGCATCCTAGAAGCAGTTGTTTGTTTATATCTTCCTACAAATCTAGTTCTTTGTGAAAAAGTTGCATTTACTATAGCTGCATGGCTTGTTCTTTTATTTGTGGTTCTCTCAGTGTCTAGCCTGGCCCTGCTGGGTAGCATGCTCTGTGGATCCCAGAAGGAGCCTATTAACAGGCTCAGTGTTACCATTATGCTCACAGTATTGGTTTTCCTCTTATGTGGTCTGCCCTTTGGTGTCTTCTTTTTCCTGTATTACAGGATTGACTATAGTTACCATGTACATTATTGCCTTTATATGGTTTCAAGTATTTTGTCCTGTGTTAACAGCTCTGCCAATCCCATCATTTACTTCTTTGTTGGCTCCTATCGGCAGCGGGTTCAGAGGTGGAACCTAAAGCTGGTGCTTGAGAGGGCTCTGCAGGACACTCCTGATGAGGGTGAATGTGGAGGCAGCCTTTCCCAGGGAACCCTGGAGATGTCAGGCAGCAGAGTGGAACAGGGATGAAGACCCTCTGCTCTGGTCCTTCAGATGTGCCTTCAAGAGCCAACAATGCCCAGCCACAATCGACAGATATCTGCTCTCCTCTAAGCCTTTTGCCCCTGAAATTCTTGCATGTCATCCAATGGGTTTATGTTAACTAGGATTTTCTTCCTTCTCTTATGGAAACCAATCTTATGTAAGAATGCCCCAATTCATTTTTTATATTTTCAATAAATGTCTCATCATATCTTCATCTAAGTCTTTTTCACTAAGGCTTTTCTTTGACATATTCATTCCAATGGAAAAAGAATATTGTACAAAATCATAAATCTCTTATTTTTTACTGTTTTCTACCTGAACTTATAGAAAATAATGATCTCCTATCTCTCTCTGCCTATGCTATTAGCAATTAGTCTTGTGTTGTGTGTTGGGACATTGATGCAGAGAGAAAGCTTGGTTATGAATGACTGAAATCTGGTACAGTATATCTTGCTGAATTCTGTCAGGTTTGAAGACAGAGTCCCTACCTGCATAACAACAACTCAGGAAATTAGTATATTAAAAAGCATTTTGGGGGCTGGGGATGTGGCTCAAGTGGTAGCGTGCTTGCCTGGCATGCATGCGGCCCAGGTTCTATCCTCAGCACCACATACAAGCAAAGATGTTGTGTCCGCCGAAAAATAAAAAATAAATATTAAAATTTTCCCTCTCTCTCTCTCTTTCTCTCTCTCTAAAAAAAAAAAAGAATTTTGGTATATTTGTCTTATCAGAGCAGTGAGGCAAGCCCAGAAAAAGGATTATAAAAAGGAACAATAGAGGTGTCACTGCTTTCTGATGAAATGGTCCTATGTAGCAAAATTCTAAATTTCATTACAAAAAGTGATAGAATTGATATAAAATTCAATAAAGTTGCAAATACAAAATTGTAACACAAAATGAGCAATATTTCTCAACATTAACAATGAAAATTGCAGAAAAAGAAATCAAGAGCAATTTCATTTCCTACCATAAAATACCAATATTTTTCTAATAATAAATGTACTAAATTTTATGATAACAAATATAATAATAGTTGATACTTTCTTTTTTTATTTTTTTTATTTTTTATTTTTTTTATTGGTTGTTCACAACATTACAAAGCTCTTGACATATCATATTTCATACATTAGATTGAAGTGGGTTATGAACTCCCAATTTTACCCCAAATGCAGATTGCAGAATCACGTCGGTTACACATCCACAATTTTACATAATGCCCAATTAGTAATACTTTCTTAATATCAAAATTAAGGTAAATTTAATAGACAAAGTGAGAGCATTAGAAGTTCATTTTCCAGAATTTTTCATTGTTACACATTTTCACTACAATATTATATTTACTTGGGCTTTATATTATTTTTAAATCATCCCTATTACTCTTTGCTTTCAGAATATGTAATTCTGACTCATTTTCTCTTTTTTAAATAAATTTGTTTATTTATTTTTAATTGCTTTTATTTTTAAATAAATGACAGTGGAATGCATCACAATTCTTCTTACAAATATAAAACACAATTTTCATATCTCTATTTGTATCTAAAGTATGTTCACACCAATTCTTGTCTTCATATATGTACTTTGGATAATGATGTCCATCACATTTCACCATCCTTGATAACATCCTGCCCCCTCCCTTTGCCTCCCACCAATCTGCCCTACCTAGAGTTTGTCTTTTCCTCCTATGCTCCCTCTCTCTACCTCACTATGAGTCAGTCACCTTATATCAGAGAAAACATTCATCATTTGTTTTGGGGGGATTGGCTAACTTCACTTAGCATTGTCTTCTCTAACTCCATCCATTTACCTGCAAATGCCATGATATTATTGTCTTTTATTGCTGAGTAATATTTCATTATGTATATATGCCACTTTTTTAATCCATTCACCTATTGAAGGGCATCTAGATGGGCTCCACAGTGTAGCTATTGTGAATTGTGCTGCTATAAACATTGATGTGGCTGTGTCCCTGTAGTATGCTGTTTTTAAGTCCTTTGAGTTTAGACCAAGGAGAGAGATAGTTGGGTCAAATGGTGGTTCCATTCCAATTTTTCGAAGGAATCTCCCTTTCCACATTGGCTGCACCAATTTGCAGTCTCACCAGCACTGTATGAGTGAGTGTGCCTTTTCCCCCACATCCTTACCAACCCTTATTATTGCTTGTCTTCATAATAGCTCCCATTCTGACTGAAGTGAGATGATAATTTAAAGTAGTTTTGATTTACGTTTCTCTAATTCCTAGAGATGATGAACATTTTTCATATATTTGTTGATTGATTGAATATCCTCTTCTGAGAAGTGTCTGTTCTTGTCTTTGGTCCATTTATTGATTGGGTTATTTGGGGGTTTTTTTGTTTTTATTTATTTATTTATATGGTGTTTAGCTTTTTGAGTTCTTTATATAACCTAGAGATTAGTGCTCAATCTGATGTGTGAGGGGTAACAATTTGCTCCCAAGATGTAGGCTCTCTAATCACCTCATAGATGTTTTTTTGCCAAGAAGTAACTTTTTAGTTTGAGTCCATCCCACTTATTGATTCATGGTTTTAGTTCTTGCGCTTAGGAGTCTTTGTAAGGAAGTTGGGGCCTAATACCACATGTTGAAGATTAGGGCCTACTTTTTCTTCTATTAGACACAGAGTCTCTGGTTTAATTCCTAGGTCTTTGATCCACTTTGAGTTGAGTTTTTTGCATGGTGAGAGATAGGGGTTTAATTGTGTTTTGATACATAGAGATTTCCAGTTTTCCCAGCACCATTTGTTGAAGAGGCTATTTCCTCCAATGCATGTTTTTGGCATCTTTGTCTAATATAAGATAATTCTAATTTTGTGGGTCAGTCTCTGTGTCCTCTATTCCATACCATTGGTCTACCAGTCTCTTTTGGTATCAATACCATGCTGTTTTTGTTACTATTGCTCTGTAGTATAGTTTAAGGTCTGGTATAGTGATGCCACCTGCTTCACTCTTCCTGCTAAAGATTGCTTTAGTTATTCTGTCTATTTAGTTAGTCTTTTATTTTTCCAGATGAATTTCATAATTGCTTTTTCTATTTCTATGAGGAATGCAATTGGGATTTGATTGGAATTGGATTAAATATGTATAGTGCTTTTGGTAGTATGGTCATTTTGATAATATTAATTCTGTGTATCCAAGAGAAAGGTAGATCTTTCCAAATTCTAAAGTCTTCTTTGATTTATTTCTTTAGAGTTCTATAGTTTTCATTGCATATATCTTTCACCTCTTTTGTTGATTCCCCAGTATTTTATTTTATTTTTTGAGACTATTGTAAATGGGGTAGTTTTTCTCATTTCTCTCTCAGAGGATTGGTCATTGATATACAGAAATGCTCTTGATTTATGGGTGTTGATTTTATAACCTGTTACTTTGCTAAATTAATTTACTAGTTCTAGAAACTTTCTGGTGGTGCTTTTTGGGTCTTCTAGGTATAGAATCATATCATTATCAAATACTGCTAATTTAAGTTCTCCTTTTCCAATTTGTCTCCATTTAATTTATTTCATCTGTCTAATTGCTTCAGTGAGTGTTTCAAGAACTATGTTGATTAGAGGTGGTTAAAGAGGGCATCCCTGTCTTGTTTCAGTTATAGAGAGAATGCCTTCAATTTTTCTCCACTTATACTTATGTTGACCTGAGGCTTAGTGTAGATAGCTTTTACAATATTGGGATATGTTTAGGTTATCCCTAGTTTTTCTAGTGTTTTGAATAGGAAAGGGTGCTGTATTTTGTCAAATGCTTTTTGTGGATCTATGAAGATGATCATATGATTCTTATCTTTGAGTCTATTGATGTGATGAATTACATTTATTCATTTCCTTATGTTGAACCAAATTTGCATACCTGGGATGAATCCCACCTGATCATAGTGCATAATCTTTTTTATATGTTTTTATATTAAATTTGCCAGAATTTTATTGGGAATTTTTGAGCATCTATGTTCATTAGAGATATTGGTCTAAAGTTTTCTTTGCCTGGTTTTGGAATCAGGATGATATTGGCCTCATAGAATGAGTTTGGAAGTGATTCCTCTTTTTCTATTTCCTAAAATAAATTGAAGACTATGGTATTAGTTCTTCTTTAAAATTCTTGTAGAACTTGGCTGTGTATCCATCCGGTCCAGGGCTTTTCTTGGTTGGTAGGCTTCTGATGGCTTCATCTATTTCATCACTTCATATTGGTCTGTTTAAATTGTGTATATCTTCCTGATTCAATCTTGGAAAGTTGTGTGACCTAAGAAATTTGTTGATGCCTGCAATAGATTCTACTTTATTGGAGTATAAGTTTATAATTTCTAATTATCCTCTGTATTTCTGTACTGTCTGTTGTGATATTACCTTTTTCATTGCATATGCTGGTAACTTGAGTTCTCTCTCTCCTTCTCTTCATTAGCATGGCTAAGGGTCTGTCAATTTTACTTATTTTTTCAAAGAACCAACTTTTTGTTTTGTCAATTTTTTCAATTATTTCTTTTGTTTTGATTTCATTGATTTCGGCTCTAATTTTATTATTTCTTGCCTTCTACTGCTTTTGCGTTGATTGTTTCTTTTTCTAGGGCTTTGAGATGTAGTGTAAGGTCACTTATTTGTTTACTTTTTTTCTTTTAAGGAATGAACTCCATGCAATGAACTTTCCTCTTAGAACTGCTTTCATAGTGTCCCAGAGATTTTCATATGATGTATTAATAATCTCCTTTACCTCTAAATATTTTTAAATCTCTTCTTTGATGTCTTCTGCAACCCAGTTTTCATTCAGTACCATATTGTCTAGTCTTCAGGTGTTGGAGTAATTTTTATTTTTTATTTCATCATTGATTTACAATTTCATTCCATTATGATCTGATAAAATGCATGGTAGTATCTCTACTTTTTTTATTTGCTTAAAGTTGCTTCATCGCATAGTTTATTTTAGAGTCTATTTTAGAGAAGGATCCATGTGCTGCTGAGAAGAAAATGTATCCATTTTCTTATCAG